TCATGTGTTCGAATCTCCACGACCCCCAATATTAACTGTTGTCTTTCAAGCACATGGTATGGTGGGCCTGTGCAATCTTCAAGCCCGTGGGTTGGCTTTCGTTTGAGGGGGCGTGTTAGAGAGTGGTATAAGATCCAGCATAACCTTCTCCCAACAACTCGAGTTATTGGGATCAACTGGTTCATGACACAAATTAGAAAGCCAACCGCATCTAAGGTGAGCTAAACAAACAAGAAGCTAAAAACAGCAGTAGTGAATTCATTTGAAGCATCCATTTTGGCAAAAGACAAGGCATGACAGTTGTATCCGCATGCAAGAGGCAGGATAAAGAAAAACCAGCAAGTTGGCAATGGCCAGTCGAGCATATTGCGAGCATTACATAGAACACCTAATTCTCAAGGTGAACTAACACTCTAACCGTTTGGTTTCGGGCAAATGATCAAACACATCGTGAGCATTAATAAGAATCTGAATCCTTGCGACTTACTAACGACCCCTTTCCAGAAAACAAATCATACATAGAAAATTACAGAACGATGGAAGCAGCAAAAAATCCATCACAACTGAACGAGGAATCAAAAGAATCTGTCTAGTTTACTGTTGGAATTTTGAGAACAGGTACAAAATAAACTAGAAATCCCAGGTTAACAGTACCCTCGTTCCAGCTAAACAGGCAACTCATAGGCAAACATTAATCCATCCAGAACATGAATCGAGCTGCTGGAAGTTAGATCTCACCTTTTTCAAATTGCTTTCCAGATCTCCCAAGCGTGAAGAAGCGTTCCGGTTATGAAGAAAACACAATCCTCCCCGCCAGCACCACCAGCAGCTTCAAGTCCTCCAAGTGCTTCCAGAAGTCGAAGCTTTCACGAAATTCATTTACATTATGAAGAGGGTTCACGAGCTATAAATCGAGTGAAAAGTTGTGGAGTTCTAGAAATTAGGGTTCGTGAAGATTGGAATTGGAATATCATGGAACTATGAAGAAGTACTGAAGTAGATAGGCGGAAAAGAAGAGGATCGAAGACTGGAATTTTAGACCCATTTATGCTTTTCCTTTCTTAACGTAAGTTCGTAACCGGGCTGGGACGGATAGTTTTTTTCAACGCTTATCGAAGACTGGAATTTTAGACCCATTTATGCTTTTCCTTTCTTAACGTAAGTTCGTAACCGGGCTGGGACGGATAGTTTTTTTCAACGTAGCGTTGAAAAAAACTATCCGTCCCAGCCCGGTTACGAACTTACGTTAAGAAAGGAAAAGCATAAATGGGTCTAAAATTCCAGTCTTCGATCCTCTTCTTTTATGTTACACTTAACTCAATTTTTTCTAGTGTTTTTAGTATGAATATATATTTTATGTAGCCCATTGCGTCGTCACGCAAAGTTATTACAGAAATGTGACAAAAAATTCGTTACAAAAAATTATTAACCTTAGGTAACGCTAAAATTCGTCACAGTAAAATATTTTTTTGTCGCATAAGGTATTTTTAATAGTCTATGAAAATTTTTCATTTTTATGTGACAATCAATCAAATTTGTCACGTAAAGTGTATCTTATGTGATGAAATGGACCATGTCACAGAAAAATTCGTCAGAGAAAAGGCAGTTTGTTGTAGTGGTATTTTGCCTATTTTGTATTGTAAAAAGATTAAGTTAATATATTGTCAAAATTAAAAGGTTTAGCTAATAATATGAACTTATTTAAAAGGAAATTATCAATTTTTTTATTGAAATCTGATGTGACAACTGATATGAAACGCCGATTTATGAATGATACTAGATCAACTACTAAACCATCCTAATAAAAAAAGAGAAGAATAAAACCAATATGCATGCAGTATTTAAATTTGGACGTTATTTACCTGCACATTGGGTTGTAGGGGTTCCTACAACCAGTCCACGTGTCAGTCGCTAATTGGTTATTTTTCTTCTTACTTTTTAATTGAATCCCCATTTAAAAGCTACCACAAATTCTAACGGGATAGCGGGATAGCAGTAACGAGGTGTTTGTACAAAGAAAGAGAAAATTTTATCACCTTCTCTCCTCTCTCTGTCACGTGCAAATCAAAGGACTTTTTTTTTTTTGCATCAAATAAAGAGTTTGCACACTATAACTGCATTGTTTTCATTTTAGTGCTAATTCCTATGACTATAATTATGTGAATTGAAACATCATTTATCAACTAAAACATGTAATCAACTTACAATCAACAACAAACACAATCAATCTACCAAAATAATGTAATATCTCAGAATTGTGCCAAAATAAATCTCAAAGTAAATTACATGCATAATCCATTCCAAAAGGTTATCAATCGAAATTGTTTTAAAATAAATCTCAAAATAAGTTTCTAAAAAAGAATTCAACAATGGCATTTCACCAAGAGCTGATAGAAAAATATGTGTTCGCTATTTTGTTGCATCAGCATGTGAATTTGCAATTGCCTCATGTATTGGTTTTTTAGCATAACTGAGCTTCCTGTTGGATCTCAACATAGGTTTCATTGGAGTAGGGGTAAGCTCATGGTTATGGTTTGCTTGAAATTTAACAATCTCAAGCATGCCATCATTTTTCAGCTGACATGTCATCTCTGCTAAACAACCCACTCTTGTTATTGGCCTTACGTAGGCTACCTTCTCAGACTTTCTACAGCTTCGTGGTGAAATGCTACAGAGATCCAAACACAATCAGCCTCACAAATGAGACTCTCTTGACTCTTATTCCTAAGACTGATAGCCCTTTCACCATGAATCAATTTCGCCCAATTAGTCTTTGTAATGTGGGTTATAAAGTGGTGGCCAAGTGCTTAGCTAATAAGCTTAAGCGTTTTATGCCCCAATGGATCCATAAAAATCAGTCGAGTTTTGTTCCTAACAAACATCACTGATAATATTTTTGTTTTGAAGGAGACTATCCATTCAATGACAAGCAAGAAGGGCAAGAAAGGAACTATGTTACTCAAGGTCGACTTGGCCAAAGCCTACGACAGGATCGATTGGGCTTTCCTTGAAGACACTTTTAGAAAGACTGGCATCCCTGATGGCAGTGTTAATATGCTGATGAAGTGTGTCAACACCACATCAAAGCAAGTTCTCTGGAATGGAGGGGAAACTGAATCTTTCAAGCCTTCCAGAGGTCTTAGGCAGGGATGTCTCCTCTCACCCAATCTCTTTACTCTTTGCGTTGAAAGATTGAGTCATTGCATCTTAGAGGAAGTTAGGTTGAAGAACTGGAAACCTGTTAGATTGTCTCCTAGGGGCCCCCCCTCTCTCCCACTTGTTCTTTGCGGACGATCTTGTTCTTTATGGTGAGTCTAGTCCTAGGCAAGCTGACATTGGGTTAAAGTGTTTGGATCGTTTTTGTCTAGCGTCCGGGGAGTTGGTTAGCAACGAGAAGTCCATGGTGTTCTTTTCTAAGAATACTAGAACTAACTCTAGAATGGACATCAGCCAAAGGCTTGGCATCCATCCAATCAACTGCTGACTTAGGGAAGTATTTGGGTGTTCCAGTTCTACATGGAAGAATAACTAAGAACACTTACAGATACATTTTGGAAAGAATCGGCAGCAAGCTGTCCTTGTGGAAAGCTAGAACGTTGTCTCTGGCAGAAAGAGTAACTCTTGCCAGTTCAGTTTTAAATGTGATTCCTGTTTATGCAATACAAATGTATGTGCTTCCTATGTTAGTTTGTGATGATATTGATAGGATGATTAGAACTTTTGTGTGGGTGGGAATAAAAACAAGAGGAAGGTTCACCTTGTCTCGTGGGAAACTATTTGTAAACCTAAGAATCTTGGGGGTCTCGGCCTTAGGTCTGCTAGGTTTATCAACCAAGCTTTCATGGTTAAGCTTGCCTGGCAGCTACTGAATAAGGGTGATGATTTTTGGGTCCAGGTGTTCCAACACAAGTACTTCCATCATGTGGAGGGCAACATTCAACCAATGAAGAAGAGCAATCACTCCCCCGCTATGGTAAGCGATCCTGAAAGCCATGCCAATTATGAGGAAAGCTTTAATCTGGAATGTTAGAGATGGCCAGACAACAGGTTTTTGGACACATCCTTGGGTGGAAAAGGGAGTCATCCTTGAAGAGTACACTCTGAGAGACCTGACAGATGAAGAAAGAAGATCCTTAGTTGTAGAGTGGACTACTGAGTCAGGTGAGTGGGATTGGGCAAGGCTGAACCACCTCCTTCCTAATGATATTCTTTTCCACATTGTAGGAAAAGACTTCCCTAGGCCTGATGGGGGAGAAGACACAACGATCTGGGGAGGGGAGAAGGATGGAAGATTTAGCCTAAAGTCTGCCTACAAACTAGTGACAGATTCATTGGAGGAGGAACCCGAGAAGATTTGGAAGGATCTATGGCACTGGAAGGGACCTAGTCGAGTGAAACATTTCCTCTAGCTCGCTAGCCACGAACGATTCATGACGAATCAGCAAAGAGAGAAAAGGAAGCTAACTAACAACAACAACTGTTCTGCCTGTGTTGGGACAGAGGAAACTACAAAACATATAATGAGAAAGTGCAGAAGGGCTAAAGGAGTTTGGAAACATTTCAGTTACATGATTACAACCAAGTCGCCAAACGTGAACTTCCAAACGTGCCTCAGCGACAACCTTAAAAATGATGAGGATGGAATTAACTTTGGATTAATTTGTTGGATCCTCTGGAAACAGCGGAACGAAGAGGTGATGGAAGGGAAGAAATTTTATGAAGAAGGGACCATCCATAGAGCTACTGCTTTGATTCAGATTAACAAGCAAGCGATTTTGAATGCCAGGAACAACTATCTCCCGTCTGCAATCAACTGAGTGGTGAAAGCGGTGGCCTGACAACCCCCTCCTGTGAATTGGATCCAACTGCAAACAGACAGATCGGTTGCTGGTTCGGCTGCTGCATGTGGGCTCCTAAGGGACCATTGGGGGAGGTGCGTTGATGCATTTACAAGTAATTTGGGAATCTGTTCAATCACGAGAGCAGAATTAAAGGGAGCTATGGTCGGGCTTGAACGAGAATGGAACCAGGGCTTTAGAAGAGTGGAACTGAACCTCGACTCCTCTACGGCCATTGCTATTATCAAAGACTGCAAGGATACTGACCACAGACATGGTGCGCTTGCAGAGCAGTTTGGCAGACTGTTGGAGCGGGAATGGGAGGTGAAAATCAACCATGTCTTTAGAGAAGGCAATTGTGCCATTGACTTTTTGGCAAACAAAGGCCATTTCTTTAATTTTGGCACACTTTCTATCGATGTGTGCGATCCGATGTTGGGTCATTTGCTTCGATATGATTATATTGGCATTGGCATTGATCGTACAGTGATTAATACGAATTAGACGCACTAAGGTGTCTATCTTTCTACAAAAAAAAAAAAAAGAAAGTCACATAATATGTTTTCATTCAAATTTATAAAAATAAAAAATAACATTGTTATAGATAACGTTTTTCAAATAGCTTAGACCAAAACTTGTACAAATCTATAATAATGCAAAGAAGGCTGTTAACTATGATTATTTAGCAAAACAAAATAAGCCAAACAAAACCAACTTGCAAGTAAGTACGTTTAATCAAACATAGATCCAAGTCTTTCTTCAACTTTTTATTTTTTGGAATTATAGAGAGGAGTGAGGGTGAAAAGATTGAAAGACGAAATCCCACCGCAGGAGCTGGCACTGCACACGCAGACTGCAAGTGGCTTAGGGAAAGGTCAGGGTGTTTGAGGTGAGAGGCTAACAGAGAAGAGAGGTATGTCTTGATGATGTAGACTAGGATTACTTTCTGAATCTGGAAAGGTAATTGAGGGGACCGATGAGAGAAGCAGAGAGAGAAAAAAGAAAATATGAGGGGATAGAAGCTTGGTCAGGGAAGCAGAAAATGAGATTGACGGTTGGCAGAGATATTTCGTTCGTTTGCTTGGTTAGGTTAGCCTAATCTACCCGTAGTACTATATTCTCTCGCATCGAGGTCAGGGGAAGCTCTCTTGAAATATATCTTCCTCTTTCTTTGCATTCGTTTTCTCTTCCTTTTCTTGACTGGGTTCATTCTCTCTCTTTCTATCTAATGGGGTTTCTTTGATCCTCTTTTTTCAGGTTTGTTCATCGCCTCTCTCAGGAACAAAAGGATCCGAGCTCTGCATCAGAGTTGATTCATCCTTCAACTACGAAGCTCCTATGGTGAGTCGTTATATGGATGCTTTGTATTTCGTTTGTTTCAGTGGATCGATCGGAGTTCCCTGTGGCACATCCTCGCCAAGCGACGCCTCCACGAACGCGTCCTTCAGTCGTGCGCCCTCCTCCGTCATCTTCTTCCTCAGTGGCAGCCTCTTCGCCTCGTAGGAAGCTTATGAAGATCTCGACGTTCCCCGCGATTCCGGCTCCGACAATTCCTTCTTCTTCGTCGACCTCAATAGAGCTGTCGTCAATCGTTGCCCTGTGTTCTTCTTCTTCGCTGGTATGTCGACCTTCTCAGCGGCGGTGATTGGTGGCGCTGGCTGGTCTTTTGTGGCCAGCAGATCCTCATCCAAGGGTTCATCAGCCTCCTTCTTCGTCTTGACTGGTGGGGAAACGGACAACAATGGTGGTGGTGGTTCGGGAAAAGCAGTTGTTGTCGCAGCAACTTTCTTGCTCTTCCCAGCGGTGGTGGTTTCACCTTGCTTGAGCTCGATTGGGAACGCAAGTTGTTCCAACCAATTTTCGAAATCTATTTCTGAAATCAGCGGTTCAATTGCGTGCAAACCGCTGTTGGAGCCGGTATTGGGCTCCTCTCCATCCTCACAGCTTCCTACTTCATTTTAAGAGCCTATTCAAGTTTTTTGATTGAGGGCCCTTCGAATCTCGACATGACTCCGGTATGAGTGCCTGCAACCGGGCTCTGATACCACTGAAAGAAACTCCGCTTCTAGGGATTCTAGCGACTGCTCTTCGGCACCCGTAATTACTTGTAACGAAACGAGATTTAGGAGATGAGAGAAATGATTGGATATTTAGTTGAGAAGAACATAATAGAATTGAGAATCGGTCGAGGCCTTGGATTAAGAGAGAATAGAAATTAGGAGTTGAGAGAGATTAGGTTTAGGAGAGATACTTTGCTTAATACTTTTCTTGATTGATTTCTTGATTGATTATGACGTAAACCCAAATTACATATTTATAGTAAAATACTGAAAACCAGAATAATAATCCTAATTTGACTAAATCTCTATTAACCATAATTATAATTATCCTACCTGATATAATAATACAAATCCCAAAGGGCGGGTTTCTAACACTCCTATATTCCATTCATTTGTTTACAACTTTTTATATTGATTTCTCAAAATCTCTACTTACTCATATTAACTAACCTTTTTCAATATGGTAGTCTGTAAATAGTAAACCTTTAGAAAAAATTAACAGAACAAATAATGATAAAAATACCCTTTGAGCTATTGAAGGAGGAAAAAATGAAAATTCGAAAGAGACATGTAGTGGCTTCTATTGTATTGACTAAATTTAACATATCACATACTTGTATTTATCTAGATTTCAAATTAACTTTATTTTGGTGCAAAATATTATATCGTAACTCTTAATGAATGAGGTTTAGGTTCTAATTATCTAAATCATAAATCCTAAAATAGTGTATAAGTTTGTTGTATTCATTTCAGTGAATCATAACTGCCGATTGTTGTTTCTAGCCAAATTGATTTTAGTAATATATATAAATCTAAATACTGATTACTGTTCACTAAGAAATGTTATGTATTTTCATACAGTTAGGTTGGCCTATTGTTTGGGGATTTGGGCTTCTCTATTTGGGAATTTGTTTGTTTGTGGGCTATTTTTTGCGTTGGACTTTTAAGAGTATATCTAGAAAGTGAATGAATGAGCAAGTGATAAAGGGAAAGACTGTTTCTCTAGAGCGCTGATAGCAAGAGCATTTACTCCACTTTCTATTTAATCATTTTACCATTCGAGTGTGGGACTCTCAATGTTGCTGGGTACCCCTAGAATTTCTTTGCCTCTCCTATAGTCCACTCATTTGTTTTCAACTTTTTATATTGATTTCTCAAAATCTCTACTTACTCCTATTAACTTACCTTTTTCAATATGGTAGTCCGTAAATAGTAAAACTTTAGAAAATATTAACAGAACAAATAATGATAAAAAAAACACTTGAGCTATTAAAGGAGGGAAACAAATTCGAAAGAGAAGTGTGGTGGCTTCTATTGATTGACTAAATCTAACATATCACATACTCTTATTTATCTACATTTCAAATTAACTTTATTTTGGAGCAAAATATTATATCATAACTCTTAATGAGTGAGGTTTAGGTTCTAATTATCTAAATCGTAAATCCTAAAATGGTGTATAAGTTTCTTATATGCATTTTCGTGAATCATAACTGGCGATTGTTGTTTCTAGCTAAATTGATTTTAGTGTATAAGATTTAGAAATTAATATAAATTGTGTGGCAGAAGGCATACAATACCCTTTTTTATATGATTTTTTTATAGAGCCATACAATAACATTACTCTTCTATCACCCGCAGCATAGCACGGGTTTATCTCTAGTATGATATATGCAATAACTGTAAAGCCATAATATATGCAATAATAGTAAAGCCAAAGAGAAGGACATGTCATGTGGCAACTAGTTATTTCTTGTCAAATTGACAATATAGTTATACTCAGACCATTATGTATATAATGTTGAGGTCAGCGTCGCAATATCTACCACCAACCCCAGCTGGAATCAAATCGACAGAATCATCCAATTGATGACAAAGAAGGATGGTGGCGCGATCAAATGAAACAAAGAGGGAAAGTGCAACGGCTATGTCAAACGACTAGTCTCAGAAGATCAATATATATATATGGTGACTTCTACGGTGCCCAGGGCAAAACCCGGGTACGGGTGCCTTGGCCGATCTTAACCGTTCGTTTTCAATCTCCACGGCTCACGTTTGTTAAACCTAGCTGCGCCACTAAATAACTAAACAAATTACAAATTGCCTCCTCCGCGTTAAGTTAGTTTTCATCCTAGTCCAACTAACTGCCCCGGTTAAATTAAATGGATTTAGACCCAAACCCAATTGGGTAGACCCACTGCCGCCCAAACCAATTTCCAGTCTCCCTAACCAATTACACGATCCCTCTCTCGTCTTGGAGGGACGCCCCTTCACAGTTCCAAGAGAAGCTCCCCATCCACATTCGACGTAGATTGAATTTCCCAAAATAATTTTGTCTTGTTTCTTCTTCGCCAGTGTATTTCCCCTCGCCTATCTCTTTCTAAACACGATTACGGCGACCATGTCTATTATTGTGTTCATCGAACTTTTCATTTGGAAAAAAACCCTTGAAAGAGGTTTGCTAACCCTAGGGTTCATGTCACTAGTGCTTTGTCATCTTGTCTTAGCGTTATTGTGATTATATCTCTCGGTGAAATTAAGGTTTCCTGATATGCAGTGTTCGTCTCGCCCAGAGGATTGAGGAAGGAGATGAAGAAGACCTAATTTGATTCGAATCAGATGGAGAGGTCTCCTTAATTTGTGTTTATGTATTAACGCTGCGTTTAGGACTAATTCTAGTTGGACTGGGTCTGATCATTGATTTTTGCAGGCTTTTAAATAACATTCAAACGTGGGCTTGTACATGACCCATGAAATATTCAAAATTGGGCCTGGAACGTGCGAGCCCATTAGTTTTCTCCTGCGGTATCAGCGCCAACCCTAGTTTAACTAGATTTAGTTATCCTAGTTTAACCTACACGAGTTAACATCATCATTACTACATATCTTCCCAAATCTTCTAACTCTTGACATTCCAGACTCAACCGTCTCCATCACACGTCTCCACACTCAACCCCCACTTTTTCTTACACCTACAATCTCTCTTTCCCTACAATCTCTCTTTCCTCCATCTTCACCTTCCCTTGTTCCTTCTTCCTCTGACTCCATGGCAAACATGGGCATTCTAACTCTATCAAACGACGATTGCCGAACCACCACAAGTCTCGCGGACTATCTTTCATTCACGAGCAAGACATCTATTGTGGCCGAGTACGAGTTCATCAACCTGAGTCCTTTCCCTCAAGAAGTTAAGAAGTTAATTAAAAATCTTGGCTGGGAAAAGTTCTTCGATCTCCGGAGTCGAGGAAGCACCAGTTACTGCCCGCATGTGGTGAGGAAGTTCTACCACAATTTAGAGCTGTCTGGTCCCTCCGATTCTCATCTCGTGTCGATCTTCCTGGGTCATAGAGTCTGCTTCCAGCCTCATCAGTTTGCTGAGATCCTCGATCTCCCCGCCGCAGGACACCACATTGATAGCAGAAGCGATCTTCGGCGGCTGTACGATTTTGATTTTGAAGTTGAACTGGGGAAACTGACGAATGGGTGCATCCAGGCTTCTTACCTCCCAGATCCTCTTCGATTCCTCCATTGGATGATCGTCAACTGCTTCATGCCAAGGTACAGAGGTCATTCGATAATTCGTAGACTTGACCTGTTTATCCTTGTGCAAGCTCAAAGAGGTGTTCCTCTTAACCTCGCATCTCTCATGTGCGTGAACATGGTTGAGGCGGCTCCTAGAGGGGAAAATTGGTACACTGCCTTTCCATATGCCACCTTCTTGACCACCTTTCTTGGAAGGGTTGGGATGGATATGGGGGTTTATGCTAGGGAGGACCATTCCGCCTATTTGCCAGTCTACCGTATCGTCGAAGTGACCAATACTTTTCATGAACTTCGGCATACGGAGCATGAAGAGACCCCTGAGGCATCCTCAAGCAAACGTCCTCGGCTTACATGAGAGTCGATTGATGCAGGGCGGGGTGGAGCAGTGCAGGGCGGGATGGAGCAGTGAAGGGGCCAGCATTGGATGTGTTTTGTTAAGAAGTTTACTGTAAGGCTTCGTTGTTTTTTTTTTCCAGTCTTTTTCTCCAGCACTCAAAACTGTCAGGTACTGAGGGGAGCCAGTACATCATCTGACTAGGAAAGTCTCCCATTTTTTTAATTATCCAGACAAATATTTTTCTATGCATGCAGTATTTTGTGAATTTGCCATGGCTAATTTCCCTAAGACAGGTGACGAGATGCAGTAATGGTCATCCCTAAGCAAGGATGTGCAATTGCATCCTACACTTGCTATGATGTGAGAAGCTATTGCAAGGGTGCAAATTTGGTTGCAATTGAAATTGGCCCACGAGTGGGGACTATTGATGAAATTGCAATGTTTTGTCAAAATTATAGAAGTGGAAAGGGACTACCTATGAAATTGCAAATGAATTTCATTGGGGGAGATTTTAATCCGCTTTTGTTCTAAGCAGTTCCAATTAGGTTGATTATAATGATTTT